ATCGTCTACAGTTGACTTACGTATAGAGTTCGAGACCACCGCAGACGTACCAGCCAAGACTGCAGCTTATTGTCTAATATTGCACGATCAAGTTATAACTTACAATCCATTTAGTGGAGATGTTAGAAAATTGTAAAAAAACATTTATATATAATATACTTTTTAAATAAATAATAAATTTTTAAATAATATCATTTTTGTTTTTATTTCACACTTATATTCAAAAAATTACAAAATCAATTGTTGTTTTTAATAAAATGTTGAGTCGTGTCAGTTTTCCTCTCACGCTTTAAGGGGGCCACACACGTTCAGTTAAAACTGTGCGATCCGACTGCACAGTTTTATCTATACGATAAATCGTTTTAATGGCTAAAACACACACCTTCAGTTAAAACTGAGCGATTTGACGGTACAATCAGAATAAATCGTTATTAGTAGTCGAGCTATGGCGACGACAGATGATGCTGTTGCAATTCTCGGACTAATGTGTATTTTAAAAAATAAAAAACGTAAAAAACGTAACTTATGGTGTAAAGAATGGTTACTAAAAAGAAATAAATATTCGCATACAAATTTGTTAAATGAATTGAGAATTACTCCAAAAGATTTTAATAATTATTTGCGAATGAATGAAAATACCTATCTGCACCTTCTTTCTTTAGTAACACCACTTATCCAAAAAACAAAATACTGTAATGAGGGATGCTATATCACCTCATGAAAGATTGACAGCGACCTTAAGATTTTTTAGCGACCGGAAGAACCTATGAATGTCTAAAATATTCTACAATTATATCACCACAATCACTGTCTACTATTATACCAGAAACATGTGAAGCAATATACACAGTTCTACACGAGGAGTATCTAAAGGTATGTACATAATAAAACTGCGATTTTATTATAGAGTTTTATTAAGTTACTGGTTTTTTTATTAACATAATTTAAGATAAAACATAAGTAGATAATAGTCATATACATAACATTTATATATAGAATGCATGGACACATCGATTAAATATTACTGCTATCAAAGTGAGATAAATATGAAGATGCGGTTTCGGCTGAATTCGGTTGTGGCAACAAAACTCCTTCTTGAGTATCCTGCAGTTGGTTAATAGTTTGGTACATAGTAGTTGGACAAGATAAATGAACTGGTTGAATAATAGATGATTCATTATATCCAGCTACAGTACTAGGATAAATACGATGTAATGGAAGTGAATAATTGGTTGAATTCTGAGATATGTTAGAATGGTTTGATGTGGAAGAACTAGACAAAGGTGTTGATGAGCGAGAATAAACTTCATCAAATGGCGTTGTTGTTGGAGTCATTACCTTATGTGATATTGTTAAGTTCCCCATTTCGCCTAAGAACAAAGCTTCGTTGATAATTTTTTTCAGCAAACAATGCTTGTGTTTTGTCTAAGTCTCGAAGTTTCAGTGTTACCCCTTTACCGAAAATGTCATATCGATCATCTTGAGATGCTGGACGTTTAAAGTGATTCTGTACGGTTAGCAAAACATCTTTTGTTAAAGCTGCTTCAGAATTTCTTTTTAATGGTCTTGTAGATTGAGATTTAGTGCAAGTAGTATCTGTAGAAGTAGTACTTGTGTGAGTAGATGTAGGTAGATCTTCAGAAGAAGGGTCCTCATTTGATTCTATTGCTGTTTCTGATAATTTTTCCAGATTAATCTGAAACAATATTTTTTTACTTTAGTTTCCACGAACATTCAATGAATGGAAAAATATATCGTTGTTATTTGAAGAAAAATGGAACTTTCCTCATCTACTTGGAGCAATAGATGGAAAACATGTGGCTATAACTGCACCAATGGGAAGTGGTTCGGAGTATTATAATTATAAAAAAACATCACAGTATGGTTTTAATGGCTATAGTTGATGCACAATATCAGTTTATTTTGTGTGACTTTGGAACTAATGGTAGAGTTTCGGATGGAGGGGTATTACAAAACACAAAATTCTTTCAAATGTTACAAAATAATGAGCTTAACATTCCAGCTGAAGAACTTGTCACAAATAGTTCAAGATATTTACCTTACGTTTTTGTTGCTGATGACGCATTTCCGTTAAGATCGGACATAATGAAACCATTCAGACAAGCCGATTTGACGTCTTCTGAGAAAAAAAATATACAACTATCGTGTATCACGAGCAAGGAGAATCGTAGAGAACGCTTTCGGAATTTTGGCTACGCGATTTAGAATTTTTCACACAAACATTAATTTAAATCCAAAAAAAAATTGAGTCAATCGTCATGGCATCTTGTGTGTTACATAATTACTTAATCAAAAAAGTACCGAACTTATATGCACCAACTGATTGTTTTGATCGTGAAAAAAATAGATATTGGAACCACCTTAGAAGGATATGACTCAAGCAGTTCTGCCATGGAACCTTTAGATGCAAGAAATCCAGGAAATATAGCCAAAACACCGAAAATGATCAGAGAAGAATTTATGACCTATTTTAATAACGAAGGAAGCGTTCCGTGGCAAAATTACTTTATTTAATTTGTACACGTTTTATAAATAAGTTATTATAAATATAACTGTTACTTATTATTACTAATTTAAAAGTTTTATAAATAATATCATTATGTTTAATTATAATAATTATTATTTATTATGTAATTGAATTGTAATTTTCTGTAGAGAAGAAGAATTTACGTAAAAAAAAAAAATATTATTATATTTCTTTATCTATTCATAATTTACGATGTTGATTTAGACATTTTTGATTGCATTTGGTCAGAGGAATGGCTCCACAAAATTTGTTGGGGTAAAAAATATTTACTTAATTTTCTTACCTCATCATTGTCAGTGTCCAAATTGGAGCGTGAAGGCCTTGGTATATCTTGATCATTTAAAAATTGTATCACTGAAACTCACCTAACTAAAACAATAAAATTAAAACTACCTGGTTACTCAATATACCGTGCAGACCACCCGGACGGTACGGCTCATGCAGGCTCTGCCATAATTATTGCTACTAAATTAATTCATAACCTACACTCAATCAATCCACAAACCAACCTCCAGTCAGTTTCTATCCAAATTTTCCTAAACCATGTTCCACTAACCCTTGCTTCAGTCTACTGTTCTCCCAGCCAAAAAATCACCACTCAAGATTTTGCTCAACTTTTTATCTCACTAGGGAATAATTTCATTGCAGGTGGTGACTTTAATTCCAAACACCCAGTATGGGGCTGCCGCTCCACCTCTCCAAGAGGTAAAATCCTACACAAAACAATTACCAATCATAAATGGTCACCCCTCGCACCTACTGGACCGACATATTGGCCCACCCACACCAATAGGCATCCAGTTATTAGACTTCTTCATATATTCCACCCCAAGTAACTTACCCCTTGCTATTTATAACATCTTTCCTCTGATCATACCCCAGTAAAACTAGTCATTGATGGTGAAACAAACCAAAACCCAACAAGATCTTCTCTGACCTCAGGCCCAATAAACTGGACCCAATATAAAAAGTACTTAAGTAACAACACAAAATTAGGTATTCCTCTTAAAACTGCCCAAGACCTCGAGCTAGCTTCTGCCACATTTGTAGAAATGATCCAATCCGCGGCCAAATAGCCCTCGCGCCCACGTAACAACTATTCTACCACCTCGAACACAATTATGAACAAATACCCACTCCCGGACCACATCAATGTACTCTTAAGACAAAAAAGAAAAGCTCGTGCCAAATGGCAAACCACAGGTTACCCTAACGACAAACGGATCTTTAATAACCTAACCAACAAACTTAAAAGACAACTCCAAAATCACAAAAATCAATCCTATGATAGCTACATCTCTAACCTAAATCCAACAAACGGCTCGCATTGGAAAGCAACCAAAAAAATCCTTAGACACATCGAACCCATCCCTCCAATTCGTCGCCCCGATAACTCCAAAATCACTGACGATGTTGAAAAGTCCAACGTTTTCGCCGAACACCTTGCTACAGTTTTTAAACCAAACATAATACAAACTAATCCGCAGCACTCTGCCAGAGTGTTTGAGTTCTTAGATAGTCCACTACCAGTCTCTATGCCTGCCAAACCCACTACCCCAAATGAAGTTTTCTTCTATATTAAACATCTAAAGGATGGCAAAGCTCCTGGTCATGATTTGATAACTGCTCCATTTTTAAAACAATTACCACCCAAGACAATAATACTTTTATCATATATATTCAATTCTATACTCCGCGTTTCTTACATGCCATCTATCTGGAAACATGCTCAAATAATACTCATTCACAAACCAGGCAAACATCCCGAAAACTCATCCTCTTACCGTCCTATAAGCCTCTTGTCTATCGTAGGAAAACTATTTGAAAAAAAATTCTTCTAAAAAGAATTACAAAAAATTGCCACAGATAATAAAATTATACCTGATTTCCAATTCGGCTTCAAATCTAAACACTCCACAATCCACTAACTGCATCGAGTCGTTGATCAAATCTCATCAGCATTCGAGAGCAAAAAAATCTGCATTGGTATTTTCCTAGATATCGCACAGGCTTTTGACCGAGTCTGGCATCCTGGTCTACTTTTTAAATTAAAATCCTTCTTGCCTGCTCCTTACTACCTGCTAATTAAATCTTATCTAAATCAACGAACATTTGTCACAAAAATTAACGGCGCCTTATCCAACTCTCAAATAGCAACTGCTGGTGTTCCTCAAGGCAGTGACATAGCACACTTCCTATTCAATGTCTTTACCAGTGACCTACATCTAAATGAAAACACACTACTTGGTACGTTCGCGGATGACACTTCTATTCTTGCTACTGACAATGATCCCATCCAAGCTTCCCAAAAAATCCAAAACCACCTAACTGTGCTAAACACCTGGTTTCACGACTGGAAAATCCAAGTTAACCCATCAAAATCCTCTCAAATTACTTTCACACTTCGATCCTTAGAATGTCCCGCAACCTTTATCGGCAATGCTCAAATTCCATCTTCCACACAAACTAACTATTTGGGTTTAATTCTTGACAAACGCATTACATGGGGTCCACACTTAAAAAACAAGCGTAAAGCTCTCAATTCAAGACTCCACCTTCTCACTCCCTTACTCCGCTCAAAGCTTTCATTAAAAACAAAAAGAATAATATACATGGCTCTTTTAAGACCCATGTGGTACTATGGCATACAACTATGGGATTCAGCCAAACCCTCAAATACCAGAACAATTCAGGCATTTCAGTCTATTTGTCTACGTCTAATCTCAGGTGCCCCTTGGTATATTACCAATGAATCACTTCATAAAGACATCAGCATTCCAACCTTAAACAGCCTTGCTAAAATCACCTACAAAAAAAACACACAAAACATTCAGTACTCATTCAAATCCTATAATCACTCAACCATCATCCAATCAAATTCCAGGTAATCCACCCAGGCGTCTGAAAAGGAACTGGTGTAGGGACCTACTCTCTCCTTAAATAGCTTCCTACGGGGTGTCGCCAATGGGCAACTTCCCCCCCTCCTGTAAATCAATCCCCATCACATTTACTTATTGTATAACTTGTAAATACAGATTGTAAATATTACGTTTTGTTCAATAAAAAAAAAAAAAAAAAAAAAAAAAGGTTTCGCAGCTGAGCGCCTTCCTGCTCAAGCCCTTATGTTATTTTGAACTATTTTATGTTTTTATATGAAATCAAAATTTTTTACTTATTATTGTACAAAATAATGTGACACGGCCTGCGCATGCATACACTATATTTTATAGTAGGTTATATATATACGCCGCTGAGCCAAATATATTATCAAGTATTTTTAGATTTTTTTTTTTACATTTAATAATTCACTTTTTCAATTTCCATTTTAATGGTATGAAATATGTCTGATACACACTACATAATTAAACAAATAATTTAGTAAAGTAAATAGGATAAAATAAAATTGATCATTGGTCAATATATTTTTATAAAAATAAGTAGTGTAAATTATATTGAATAGTTATAAAATAAAAGTATAGAAAAAATAAAATAAAGCACATTTGAAGAAATGTACTAAATAAAAATGGATCTCAACTTACTTTTTTAACCTTATATTAAAAAAAAATTAATTTTTCAAATCTATTAATATTATCATAATTACATTATATTTTAAAAGTTAGAACTAAAATTATTTTTGTAAACTAAATATCTGTCTTGCCAAGGAACTGAACCATTTTCTGAATTTAAAAAATCCATAAACTTATTGCGTTGTTCGATAGCTGCTATAGACGATCTGTTATGATGAATAATATTTGCTTCGTTTCTTATTTCTATTTGATTATGATGATTTTCAATTTCATTATGAATTTCTGTAAGGTTTACTTCCTTTGTCATAATTAAATTATGAAGTACACATATCGCCCGAGTTATTTTAGTAGCTTTCTCGGAGCTAACTAACATCTTATTTTCCAATACATTAAATCGTTTTACCATAATTCCAAATGCACACTCTACTATTCTTCTCGCACGGGATAAACGATAGTTTTTTTTTTTTTTTTTTTAAACTTTGTAAATACAATTAGTTTCAACAATTACGAATTATAAAATACAATTATTGTTACAAAAGCATTAGAACAGTATAAAATAAAATTAGATTAAAAAGCCTGAATGGTTAAAGAAAGATAGTATACTTAAAATGATGTTTTTTTGTTTATTAGAAAAAATATTTATTGTATCGAAAGGGATGTTGGAGGTGTTCAAAATAGATAGTAGGTGGTCACGATGTGTTGATAGGCTGGGGCAGATGTAGAGTAGATGGTTAATATCACAGATCATAGGGTCATGGTGTAGTGTGCAGTAAGGGGAATCGTTCAGTGACAGTTTAAAGGAGTGAGAAGGAAGTCGAGTATGTCCAAACCGGAGGCGGGAGAACGATGTTATGCATTTTCGATGAATATCAAGGTTGTGGAACCATGGTGTTGTAGGTATGGTAGGAGATATATTTCTGTACCAGGTGGCGAAGTGAGGAGGGAGTGATCTCCAGTGCCTAAGCCAAAGATTGGATGAACTGGACCTAAGGATGGGGATAAAATCTGACCATGGAATTTTCGTACTTGAAGGGAGTCTGAGGGAGGCAGAGGATTTTGCTAGCTTGTCAGCGAATTCGTTACCTGCAATTCCAGTATGGCCTGGTACCCATATGAATTGAATGTCCGAGCCAGATTCCGTAAGGGATAATAAAATATGTCTGATAGTGATAATTAGAAGAGAGGGATGTGAATTGAAAACATTAGAGGAGAGAGCTTGGAGACAGGACAGAGAGTCAGTGGCGACGAGATATTTATTCGGAGGTAAAGATGAGATTGTATTGAGTGCTTCAATTATAGCGAAGCATTCAGCTGTGAAAGAAGATGAAGTGGGAGGTAGATTGTTGGAGAAAGAAATGTGAAATTCCGGAATATAAAAGGAATATCCAGCGGATAAGGGAGAGACAGAGCCGTCCGTGAAAATTAGGATGAAGAGCGGGAAGGTGTTATGAATGAAATCGAGAAAAATATTATTCACATGATTAGGCGGAGCGGGAATTAGGAGGGTTCGCGAGTGAGTTGGAAAGTTATTAAATAGGTGAGTGATAGGTGAAAAAAAGTAAAGATTGGAAATCGGTTTCATATTGTGGAAGTTTATTAGACTGGATGATATAATTGCGCGTGGCTGCAAGTGAATGTGCCATTAAGGCGAGGACAGGAAGAGTCTTTTGGACGTATCGCCAAGAGAAATAAATCTCAAGGAACGAATTAAAAATATAAGATTCTTTATTTGCTAATTGTTTGAGTAAGAATTTACCGGCAAGCCATTTGGTTCTTATATGAAGTGGTTGACAAGATGTTTCAACTTCAATAGCAGGAGAAGGAGTGGATCTTAGGGCACCAATAATGGATCTGAGACAAGAGATTTGTAAATTATTAAGTTTATTGAGGTGCGCGAGAGCAGAAGAGCCAGAAAAGAAACAGCAGTAATCAAACTTCGCGCGTATGACGGATTGATAAATAAGTATTAGGGTAGAAGGGTGGGAACCCCACCAAGTATTAGACACGGATCTGAGAAAGTTTGACCAGCTGGTGGCAAAAATAGTTAAATCATTAAGATGAGGAGACCAACGAAGTTTAGGGTCCATATTTAGACCTAAATATGTATGATTAGGAACAAAGGGGATTGTGTAACCATCTATTGTTGTGGCGTCACATTGGAGGTAACGTCGTCTGGAGAAGATTAAGGACTTACATTTTTCAGGAGCTATTGAGAAGAAGGAAGAGGATAGAACATTATGTAAAGAGCGTAAAGCATCGTTAAGGGAGGCGATAGCAAGGTTGATTTGTCTGTTGTGGGAATAAATAACTATATCGTCGGCGTATACAAGACAGTTGTGACTGGGAGAAATAAGGCGATTGGTAATAAAGCACATGTAAATGTTAAATAGAATTGGGCTGAGACAGCTGCCTTGTGGAAGACCAGTA